GTGGCTGGGAGCAGCCACTGCACTCCAGTCTGGGCGACAGAGTGAGACTCCAACTCAAAAAACAAAACAAAACAAAAAAACAACTTGTCACGACACGGTTACAAAAATTGATATATGTGGTGGCCGGATGCAGGGGTTCACACCTATAATCCCAGCACTTTGGGAGGCTGAGGTGAGAAGACTGCCTGACCCCACGAGTTCAAGACCAGCCTGGGCAACTTGGAAAGACCTCATCTCTACAATAAATCAAAAAAATTAGCTGGGCGTGGTGGTATGTGCCTGTGATTCCAGCTACTTGGAAGGCTGAAGCGGAAGGATCCTCTGTGCCCAGCAGTTCAAGGCCGTGGTGGCTGTGAGCAGCGTGCCACTGCACTCCAGCCTGGGCAACATAGCAAGACCTTATCTCTACAAAAAAATAAAAAATTACCCAGGCATGGTGGCATGTGCCTGTAGGCCTAGCTACTCAGGAGGCTGAGGTAGGAGGATAACTTGAGCCCAGGAGTCTGAGGTGGCAGTGAGCTGTGATTATGCCACTGTACTTCAGCCTGGGTGACAGAGTGAGACCCTGACACAACACAACAAAACAAAACATTATTTCCTTGGAGAAATGGGCTAGGATAGGGAAAAGATAAGTCTGAAGCATCTCATGGTGCCAGAGCATTAGGAAGTTCTCAAAAAACAAAAGGATGCGGGTGTGTCAAGGGACCCAGGAACCAAAAGAATTCCCAGTGGCCAAGGCTGGAGCAATTTGAGCAACAGAATAAATAACAGAGGAATACTGGATTATAACCCAAAGTATACAAATATCTTGGCTGGGCTCGGTGACTCACGCCTGTAATCCCAGCACTTTGGGAGACTGAGGTGAGAGGATTGCCCGAGTCCATGGGTTCAAGACCAGCTTGGGCAACTTGGTGAGACCTCATCTCTACAATACATCAAAAATTAGCCGGTTATGGTGGTGTGTGCCAGTAGTTCCAGCTACTTGGAAGGCTGAGGCGGAAGGATTGCCTGAGCCCAGCAGGTCGAGGCTGCAGTGGCCGTGAGCGTGCCATTGCTCTCCAGACTGGGCAAGAGTGTGACACCAACTCAAAAAAATAAATCTTATTTATGCTGATATAAATAAATTATTGAATCTCTCACTAACTGGGGGAGAGGAGACAAACCTTTCTTACAGAAGATTTCCCAATAATGAAATGTAGAGTCTCCTCCCTCTAGCAGGTGGAGTATAATTATTGCCTCCTCCTCCCTTGAGTGTGCATCTAAATATTAGATAGAGAAGAAGGCCAGGGATGGTGGCTCATGCCTGTAATCCCAGCACTTAGCGAGGCTGAAGGGGGAGGTTGCTTGAGCCCAGGAGTTTGAGACCAGCCTGGGCAACATAGGGAGACCTCAACTCTACAAAACAATAAAAAAAATTAGGTGAATGTGGCGGCACACACTTGTAGTCCCAGCTACTCGCGAGGCTGAGGTGGAAGGATTGCTTGAGTTCAAGAAGTCCAGCCTGTAATGAGCTGTGAGCATGCCACTGCACTCTAGCCTGGGCTCTGATGCAAAAAAACAACCCCCCCCCAAAACCTTAAATAATGGATAAGAAAATCTTAAATAATAGATAGAAAAAGAGAAAACCAGTAAACCAAAGTGCTGGGATTACAGGCATGAGCCATCACACCTGTCCTGGCATTCTTTCTAAAACCTCCTAGCCCCAGAGAAAAACATCCAACAAGCCCAAATTAAAGGGCATTCTACAAAACACCTGACTGGGATTCCTCAAAACTGTCAAGGT